AAAATGTATTCCTAATTTGCTCACTGGTCGACCAAGACAACGAATAAGACAATTTTATCAAAATGATAAATCAACTCTTTTTGATAAACTGCTTTCATTTTGTAATGAATAACTAATTTAATTATGTATTTCTTTTGCGCACTTTTTGCGGTTCAGGACCTCAGTGGTCAAATCCGCTAATAAAGCTCTTTTTCATTCATTCATTCAAAACATGATCTTTAATAATCTATTGGGTAGTGACTCATATATTTCTGTAAAGCAGCTTTGGTAAAACAAAACATAATTGCAGATTTCAAACTTGTGATTTCTTAATAATATCAATCGTTCTCATCTAAAGAATAATTCGAGACTATCTTTCTAAGAGAACATAAGCAGAAAATGAATCTTATTCCTTGATTGTTTTTGAAAAATTATTTGCTTGGAAGAACGATCGTATTTGGAGTTGAACGCAGATATCTCAAGGAGAACATACAATTGCAATAGGTGCTTAGTCACTTTGCATTAAACTCATGATATGTATGAACTGATGGGCCAACTGAAATTTTACCATTAGTGATTTCACACAATCATCGTAAAAATAAGATAGATTCTACAATATTACAGCATGTCCACGCAGACTTTGCTGCTATTCTACGGTGAATCTTCCTTGATGGTCATTAAAGCACGGTAAACTATTGGATCATATGCAATCCACTAAAGGGTGCTAAAAAAAGATTGAGACTATACCTAGCTGTTGCACTTGTGGACCTATGTCTGGCTTCTTTCTTTTTGACATATAACGAGCAAGAAAAGAATGTAGTTCAACGAGTTGTGGGGCAGCAGTGCGTAGAACTACCATAATACCACCTAATGATCCGATGAATGCTGTTAGTATGTGAAGAATACCACTATGTTTTGTCATCGTGTAAGTACATGAAGCTGGTGAGCAAGCAGCATAGTAACTCGAAAAATTTGTTACATTTAGCCATTCTTCGACCATTTGATGATCCAAAAGAAACCCAACAGTGGTGTTGGGATAGAAACGCGATTTTATTGAACTATTCAGTGACTTTGGCCAGGAAGTAGTTGGAAGAGTAGAAATCCATTGTGCTGTGGTATTTAAGCATGTAGAATCAAAAAAGCATTCGAGTGTATTATCATTCATCGCATCATTTGGATAACAACCAACATACATTCCGGGAATAACAAAAACAGGCGGTGGTTCTGGAGACATCATCTGTGTGAGTGGTCGTGGCTCAAGAGCCCATGCATAGATGCCTGCTTTGTAATTCACTGCGAAGAGTGAATTGCACAAATAGAAGTCGTTTTGATAGTTCTAGATATAAAATTATAATATATCATCATCGTCTAGAATGTTACTGCAATCAATTTTAAAAATGAATATCTATTTGTTCTCAGTACTGAGATTTTTATTATTTTATACAAATCCTAATGATCGCCCATGAAATAACTACATGAAATTGTGTTTCCGTTTCGTTTAAGTTAACAAGTCCTTCAAAACAAGACCGCGTTGTTATAATTTGGAATATAGTGTTATCATAACCTATCGCTCATTATACATCAATATCTCAATACTTCTGCAATTTCTTCATTTCTTTTAATCTCTTGATGGGATTTGTATCTAGAAAATCCACTAATTAATTGTCAACAAGACACCTTTCACATACTTTCTTGGAAACCTTATGGTAGAAAATTACAAAAAGTATTCTCAATCATGTCGAAAAGTCTTCACTGTCAAAGCTTTATTTAAACTTAATTTTTAGAACGATTTTGTGCAACATGATTTTTAATGAATGTCGACGTTTATATGAAGAAAAATGAAGTACTGTTGGGTCTCCCTCACAGACAATAAATGACATGATAAAATGCTTTATTGACTGTTTCAAGCACAGAATGTTTTATGTGAAAAATTCTTTTCACAACACCATATAATGCTAAGCGAAAGTTAAGATGTTTTTGAGTAAGGAATTATAGTTTTGCTGTTTTCTTTTGTAATATATATCTTAAAAATTCTTATAGCTAAATGAGATATAACTTAATCTAACTTTCCAGAATCCTAATTAAAGTTGCCAAAATCTAATATTTTCATTGACTTACTTGAAATGAAAAAGTTTTATATCGACCTCCATTTTTTAGCATAATAGAGCTGTCATTTCTCATAAAATTAAAATAGATCAGAACAGGAAGCATACTGTTATTATTAGTTTAAGCCTCTTTCTTTAGTTGCTCAGGAACTGTCAACTAAAGTATATGTATTGTGAGAACTCTGAACGAGTGAATGATTGTTATCTGTCATTAGAATTCTTCTGATGATTTTCTATTAATTAATAATTGATAGAGTACTTTTGAAACTACTAAATTCATTTATTAGTTTTATGCACTGTTACTAACTAAAGAAAAACATGAAAAACAGTTGTTTACTCTTTGAGAGTTTGTACGTTTTTGTCATATTCTTTTTGTTTTCACTAGATATTTTTTATAGGTAAATCTTTGATACACGCCTTGCTAAAGATTGAATAGTATATCTTTTGGAAAAAAATGACAGTCTGAGATTTAAAGAACAAGATATTGAACAACCGAATGTTACATGATCATCAAATTCATTTTTTTCTCAGATGATCGGAAGTAGAAAAATCACTCATTAGTTGCACTGACTAAGTTAGGTTTATATTTGATTTCATTTTGGCCTCTTCCGGAAGCATGTTCACGATCAGAGATTTTAACTTATGCGAATAGATGATTGCTCATAAATAAAAAAAAAACAGTTATCTAGAATACTAAAAAAGCAAAGAAATATGTATCAATAGATCGCTCAGGTAATACGAAATGCTCGAAAATGTGGTAAATTTTTGTTGCCCAAGACTAGGTTACCAGTAAGAATTGATTATGAATAAATATTAAATTTTCGAAATATTCTAGTTCTATTTTTGCAATTAATAAGCAGACGGTTAGAGGAGACTATATAAGAACTTACAGCCAAAATATGAAGGAAAAAAAGATAATATATTCTGAATATAAGAAAATTGAGTTCTCAATGTACATTATTTAAGTTCTATGAAAGGATAACGTAGCAGATTCGAGTATTCCAGTACGAAATATTGAGAAGGCTGAACAGCACATTAATAAAACTCGTTACAATGCTGGATTTATAACTCGATCACATGTCAGCTAGATAAGGGCAGGTTGTTGCACATGAAAAAGGTTTACTCGGCTGTATTAGTTGCATAATGTCGAAGAAAACTTAAATAGACTTCAATTCGTAATGGAATTTATGATGGTAACTATATCGCACAATTCTTCACAATACATGGAAATTTGTTGAAATTACTTTATACAAGAACTTACGCTACTGTAGGTAACATTGCCGCGTTTCGGATAAAAGTTAGTAATAGCTTCAAACTTGTTGGAGTCTGGTACACTTGTTAGAAACGAATTCGTGTGAAGAGCCGAGTGAGTTTGATCTTGAGAGATGATGAAGTGTATGAACTCAATACCACGAGTTGGTGTTATTTTTTCTACCATCATGGCATTAAATTTTCCAATAAGAGCATTAGCTTGATCACGAAGAGATGCCGGCGACAAAACTTGAGCGCTCACAAGTTGCTCTTGACCATATATTTTATTGAGGTTATCTATGGAAATTAATGATACTGAACAAGCTGCTGCCAATAAGCGAAATTGAGCTGCTGCTGTAACACGAAAGTCCAATGGGGTCATATGCGCCATTTCTGGATTGAATAACGATGTGATCCATTCAGATGACACTAGTCCACTAGAGCATACCTGTTGCACAAAAATAACCAAATCATACATTCATGACATGTTTACGTGTTTGTCTGTGTCTCATATGATCGAAACGCAATGAATTCATCGTCATATTACTATTACTTCTCAAGTTCATAATGGGTGTCTTCAAAATAAACAAACTGCAAACTACATTGTTCTATCTGTCTTAAAAAAAGATCAAGAGCATTCGTCGCAAAAAATGAGTCTTATCAGCAGTTATTAATTATACTGTAAGCACATAGTAGATTGCAATTCAAAGTATACGTTACAAAATTTTCAAGTAGATTCTTCTAAATTATTTAATAGCTGCTCACTCATCAAATAGTAAACTGTATAATTGATCTTTTGCTCTTTCTTCAGCATTCTCTAGGGTTGTTTCACTGATAGATCAATTATCAAGTGATACGTAGTATGTATTTGACATGGTATATCGGTCTTATCAATTTCAATTGCGAACGATTAATGAATGGTTAAAAATGTACGACTTTCTGCTGTATGCCTTATTCTTGACGAGCTCATAAGATATGAAAAAATGTTTCTTGCCGATTGATGAAAATAGATAGATAATAAGGAATATTTCTCTAGTTTCAAATCGAAAATCTAAGGATAAAGAGGAAACGTTGGAAAAACATTCTTGAGATATTCATAACTATTGAAAACACTCATCGTCATCTCATATATTTAAGAAAATTAGGAGATCTCAACCATTTCTTCCGGTAATCGAAATAATATTTGTCTCTCACTGTGTAAAAGTGCAACTGATTCACTTTAAGAAGTAAACTTTCTCGAAATAGTTTAGTCAATTTTTCCTACTATACTTGCATTATATTAAGCTTCGAAATAAACGTAAAGCCATAGCTACTACTAGCATTGATTGCAATGAAGATATTATAAAGTCATTGATCATATTCTTTGCACATGAAAGATGATTAGCTTACTACCACTACAGTAGATCAAGTTAGACAAATTTATCTTTCATAAGTTTCGTACTGCTCACTTTAGATAGCTTCAAGAAATATTTATTAAAACATAATTAGCTAAAGAAAAACATCGCGTAAAAATTCGCATGAAAATGGCAAAGCATACGTATTCCCATGATTAGTCATTATCTTAGTGTCAAGAGAATTTCTCCGCTATGAGCGATCGATGCTTGTTGACTGAAAAACATTATACATTCAATTCTTCAAACTATTAGAACTGGGTTCGCATCTGTTTTCAATGCCAATGAGTTTCTATCTGAAGCAATAATAATCCAAAAATCGGAAGTATTGTCCTGGAAAAATATTGGCTATGTTTTCTTTGAAAAGTATACGATTCCAGAATAAATCATTTGAATTGGATATTTTCAGTAAGCAGACACTATTCGTATTAGCTAACTGAATAAGATACTTGTTTTTAGAGAATCAAATATGAAAACATTATCTAAATGTATTTTCTTTATGCTTTGAAATTGAAACAAGAAATGCAATGAATTAATTTTTCTTTGGGTGAATTCATGGAATAGAAAATGTACATCATCTCAATCATGTAGCTTTAAGAACAAGATGAATTGTCATCAAATATCTACGTTTTCTGAGAAGAGAATATACAAAACAATATATATATTTTTATGCATCTTCTTGTATTTTTTCCAAATATAAAATGCTGAAACGAGTATAATTTTCTGTTGTTCGAAATGTCTTTGATATGTTTTGCTTATTATTCAATTCTTGCTTATCCAGAAGCTGAAAGTACTTCAAGAGATGAAGAAATAATGCTAATTCAGAAGATTATTTGCATCCTAAAATGATAGATTATTCGGTGGCCTCGAACAATAGCCAACATGCTTTGAAAGAAAGAAATGTACTTCTTGTGTGACAACTACTTTGTTTACATATTTTTCGACCTCAGACATTCAAAGATCGTAGTGATGTTAATAGGATAGTCGATGGTATCTTTCATGCACAAAGTAGATCTTTAGTATAGCTCTCATGAACCGTGATATGTGTGAATGTGTATGGAACCGTGCTGGAACGCTATTACTCAATAGGAAGATGGATTTCTCAAAGCAATGGAACAAGGATAATATGTAGAAGAGAAGAATTGAAAGCAACATAGATAAATTGACTCCTAATCAAAACAATCTCGAAGGCAACGATAACTCTACTACACGAGGTATATTAACGTGATAAGTATTTTTGGATGACATTTTCATAAATTTTACACGTGTCAATAATGATGCAAAGAAATTAATTATATTCTACATGACTAAATATACTATGAGCAGTTTTGAACAGTTTGTTTTGACATGAGAAAGTACCTTAGTCTACATGTAAGATACAGTTTTCATTGAGCATGCATAATCTTACATGGAACGCGAACTTGTCTCACTTATTCGAAACTCATCCAGCCTTCTACATTTTGGGCAAGTATTATATATATAAGCGAGAATAACTTACTCTTTTGAAAATTTCTGATTCGAGCTCTAAAACTTCTGCTATTTTTCAGCTTCGAATTTATTTTGAGATTCTTACCTGATGATACCTTGGCATGATTGAAAAGAAGCTGTTGTACGACACTGCAATATTTTGACATGGGCATGCCAGCGTATCAGGATAAGTTATTTGCAGATACTTATATGTCACCAGCAAAGGCTTTTGTATCGTCACAGATATTCTCATTGGTGCGAAAGAAATAAAAATTATCAAGATGAATAAACTCGTAATCAAAAGAGCAGCATAGAGGCGAGTAGCACGTATTTGATTGTGCAGCCTTTGCTCGTCTGCTTCTTTGCCATCATTAAATAAATTAATGTGTTGTAGCTGTTGAATTGCTCGTCTGACGATTGCCATATGACAAATACACAATTCAGGAGAGGTACCGAATAAAATCGTCACTTCCCAGCTAGATTGATGATCAAATCTTGTTTCGAATAATGTTTTCACAAAATAAGAATTCAAGTTAGTTGAACAGCTAAAAATGAGAATATTGAAGTATTTTACCGTTTTAGCTATGTGATCAGTGAAAGTCGAATAACAGAATCTAACGTTTTCCTGCATCTTTTTCGTACTTCTGCAACTATGAATTGTTCATTAGTTTTACTTCATGAAAATCGCTCAATTGCGTTGTACATTCAGCTCAAAATCAGTGTTTAAATGTAAATATTTTCTGCAGTCTTAGCATTAAATTTTCAATGTTCGAAAATTACATACTAGTTATGCAGTTCTTGAAAGGCCACTTTTCAGTAGCTTATAGTTGTATCACTACTTCGAGAAAAGAATTTAGTTAATTGTCAGAGATAAAATTATGTGTATATTAAGTTTTGATCTTAGTAATCGTATTATTTGTTTCATCTTTCTTTAGTGAAGGTAGACAACATTAATAGTACTTGAACTACGTAGATGTCAGCATTTGTTCTATTATTAAATTAAAGCTCTGTAACTATTTTCTTACCAAGATATACGTATATAACTAAGTATTGAATAGAATAATAAATTAACAGAGGGGTGATCAATAATGATGCTATCGGTTTTTTAAAATATCTGATTGAGTTTTCATCATTTTTCATTCAAGGATTTCCTAGAAGAAAACGGCGTCATGCAATCCTCTGCATAAAGGTATCTTTCGCTTCACGAATAGAAACATTGTGAATTTTTCAACAGTCACTTTAATGTACGAATTAGGAGTCATACAAAACTGTCTTGTCTGATGTTGCATAGTAATACACTTATCAATATTCGTTAGTGTTAACGAGTAGGTAAAGCATTATTCCTTAAATAATAATGTACTTAGGATGATCTCAAGAATTTTAACTAGGGATGCACTGATGGACCGGTGAGACCAGTAGACTGTGCACCGCTGGTACTGTGGTACGATGGAACCGGTGCACCAGTCAATTTTCTTGTTTTTATGATATGTGGTACATCCCAAAAACTTGCGCAATTAATTTTCCGCTAAGAAGTGATCTCTTGTACTACTGAAGTGATCTTTGCAAATGCTCATCAGAAATTTTGGATATGGCGGAGAATCAATCCGGTAAGGGTATAGAAATCTACGGTAGACACCGGCGTGTCGGTATGAATGGATGCATTGAGCCTTAAATTGTCTAAGTAATAGTAGAAACCAGTAATCACCGTAGATTTTTTGTGGTTCTAAATTGATAGGATTGATCGTAACGGCGATAGTGGAAGCTATATTCCTCAGCAGACGACGCTATGACAAATGAAATATTTCTTTTATACCAGATTAGACTGATTCGGCTAACAAAAGCGCCAGTTGAGCCATGAAAACCTATGCTAACGACTGGTGTAACAGTATCCCTGGCAGATGCAAGCATGCAGACGTCTGAACAATGACTGAACGGATCATCTCAGTAAGTTCTTGAAATTCTAACCGGCCATATTCACCTTAACCCTGAGGATTCGAACCGTATTCTTGCTTTCAGACTGTGGTCGTATACGAGACACTCTCGCGCACGAATGTAATGATTAGGCTAACTACATCACCGCTGAGAAAATGAAAACCTACAATGATGCCTGCTAGATGGACATCACCGGTTATCTTGAGCCCCAACTAGTCCGTAAAATGCTATGAAATGACCATCCCCGCAGGTTCCTTCTCTCCTAACCGGCATCATTAGGGTTCATGCTGGTGGTCAAAACCAAATACCTGAGTGCACCACGACGCGGCAAATGAAAAATTTTTTCACAGATTAGTGTGACTACGAAGCTAGTTATAGGACCGATATGGTCATGAAAACCAACGGTGATGATGACTAGATAGGCATTACTGGTTGCCCTGATCCTCAATGAATCTGTGAATTGCTACAAACCGACCGTCACGGTACGTTTCTGACGTCCTAACCGGTATTATAGGCCTTAAGGGCATTTGCGGACTTCGCTTTCCTAAGTTATATGCATAAGCATCTTTCATATTGAGATAGCTTAAGCTAGCAAGTTTCGTTTATATGAATATACGTATGTTCGCTGTCGTATGCCTACAGTCAGTGGCGTATTTGTGAAGTAGTTACTATATGGAAACAGCTAATGAAGTTTGTGAAATACGATCATATATCACAGTAGCTAGATGGGTAGCGACTAAGTATGCACTTCTCGATTATGACATGAGCAGCTTCACTTTTGATAGGAATCAGATCAGCCTGTGTAGCTTGAATTGGAGTACGTTGTGGCCGATGTTTACGAGGCACCGTATACCGGTGGCACCGGTGCTACGGCGCATCGGCTTCACCGGTGGTACCGGTGAACGCTGAACTGATGACCGGTGACACCGGTGGCTACCATCACCGTTGCATCCCTAATTTCAACTCATCTATTTTTTCTAATCTTTTTGAGCTCAATATTTTAGCATCAGTTCAATTTATCGTCTGACCTAGATAGTCTCCATTCTCTACAAAGATTTCTTTTTATTAGATACTTGAGAAATAAAATTTCCTACAGAAACTACAACAAGCTATAAATCAAAAAGACTCTTACTGTCATAAACTTCATACTTTTTTACTTGTAGGTGTTATACTTCAGTACTTTTGTTTGCGTGTCCAATAAATCCTATATCAAAGATACGATCTTCAAAACACACTCGAAAAAAAATTGATACTCTACAGAACCTTCCGAAAATGTTCCCAGGGGCGTATGGAATCAAAAAATAGGTTTTCAGATTTACGAAACCTTTATAGGTTCTTTCCTTCAAAACACGGGTTGAACCTTTCAACGCCAAATCTTTTTTAGATTCCGTGATGCAAAAATTGGCTTCGTAACAAAATATTGAACCTTTAGGGATTTTTATTGAATACTGATGGTTTCGTATCAAACCATGATGATTTCCTACTAAACTTTAGGGTTTGGTACGAAATCATCAGGATTCAATAAAAATTCGTAAAGGTTCGGTATTTTGTTATGAAGCCAATTTTTGCGCCACGGAACCTTAAAAAGGTTTGGCATTGAAAGGTTCTGCCAGTGTATCGAAGAGAAGAACCTTTAAAGGTTTCGTAAATCTGAAAACCCATTTGTTTTTATTTCACACATCTTCGGCGACATTTTCGGAAGGTTCCGTAAAGTACCAATTTCTTTTAGAGCGCAGGGTGATATGTCACAGAGTATCAATAAAATAAGAAGAAATAACAGATCAAACCAAATAATAAGCAACAAAAAAAAAACAATAAAATGAACAGAAAAAAATAAAGACTATTCGTAGCGTGGCTATAATTAGCCAAAATAGGCGGCTAGAAAATGTGCTCATTTACAACCTATTATAACTGAATTGGTACACCAATCTTTATCTGCTTTAAAGTATTCGGAATTTCTACAGACTTATCAACTGCAGAAAGTGTTTCTGCAGTCTAAAGCAGTGTCAGTTTCATATTTTAGTCCTATGAAAGACTGAGGCAATAAGCTTTATATTTAGAATTTTGATGTTCACATCAATATCGATTGTTTTGCTATCTGGTTTGATAGCCACTGCCATCAAATGCAATATACATAATATTCTTTACGATGAAATCGTATAAATTACGAGGATCAGATGTCTTACGAAACTGCTAGCATTGATATGAACATCGAAACTCTATATAAAATAGGGATGTTGCAGCTGTAGATAATAACTAAAACAAATTTCGGTGATCATGGCAAATGCGTCACACTGAGCTTAAAATCTTCGGGAGTTGGTTAATTTCTGAGTACGAATCAAGTTACGCTTTGAATATTGATCAGAGATACGGTTTTTTTAAATGTTCAGAGTTCTCATAGTGTATCAAAACGTCTACAAAAAGTTAACGATCGCACTGCTTCACCAGAACTTGTAAAAGTTTTCTAGCAATAAAAAGGGTTCATCGAGATCTGGGTTGTCGACTAACGTATATAGATCCAACATATATATTACAGTTAGAAAGCACACTAAATCTATTGAAGGAATGTAAAGTGTCCTGTTCTAAATGACTTATGTGCTGTATCATTGTCACAGAGCACTAGGGAGCATAATTCAGACTAAACGCAATATCATCGATAAACGGCGTTATCATTAACAATGATCTGTCAGTTGCATCGAAACTTTCGATATAATGCTGCAGCACTAAAAGCTAGAAGACTCAAATAATTGCATATGATAGATATAGGAACTTATCATATAGCATGTGAATGTCAGTCTCGCTCTTTAAAGAAACACACGAAAAAATACTGCCATCACAATAATTGAAGCTCAACAAACACTATTCATGACACAGTTAGCAAAAAGCAGAAGACGAGAAATAGTAAATGAAAGTTCACACTGTTACACTTTAAAATCAATATGGTACAGCTAGAAAGAGCTAGTTTCACTCGTTCAACTGGTGTACTTTGAAAGCAATAGAAAAGCGGTCAATATCCTGGCAAAGTCCTTTTATTAATCGTTGCAGGATCGGCACTGCAACACAATTAGAGTTTTCTACTAGAATTCAGTTGTTTCTTCAAGAAAAAATGGACACTTCTGGCAAGGATCTTAAATGATCTGTCGAGGATCTTGCGCTGAAAGATGTAAGGTTTTCACTAGGAAAATAACAGGTTTCAAGTACGACCCACATATCAGATAGTTTTATGAAAAATATTTTCAGAATTCAGTATCATAGACCAAGTGCTTGACTTTAAGAAGACGTGAAGCAACAACTTGGAGTCATCTATTGGGGAAAATGGAAAAGTTTCTCTCAGAAAAAATGAAAATTTTCATTATTGTTCAATATTCTTACATCAATACTTCCAAGTAATAAAAATTCTATCAATTTATCTGACAAAACATAGTTCAGTCGAGGCTTAAGCTCCTAATGATTAAATGCGTTTTATTTTCTAGGATCTTTCTTAAAATTACGTCTGTTTTCCATATATAGTTAACTTCTTTTCTAATTTCATTAAATCGTCTTTCATTTGCCCAATGTGGTTGAAAGCATTTAATAATGAGAGAGGTTGCTCTTACCTGATGATTTTTTTCTCACACGCAAGCCATGCTATTGAAAAAGTTGTTAACTACCTTTAAACTTCATAGTCTTCAGGCATGCTCTTATCTTCTCCATCATTATGATATTTTTCTCATAGTACCAACTTACTTTTCTTGCTCGATCCTGATTACCGATTTCGGATACAATATAGAATTACGAATTCTGAAATTCTCATATTTGTCTCTGATCACCTAGTTTCACGGAATTATCTTGGAAATGAGCATAAAAACAATGAGTAAGACGCATGGATACCATAGAAAAAGTTCTGATAAGGGTAGAGAGAATAAAGGCCTTTCAAGGTTTAATTTTCAATGTGTACAAGAGAGCGACTAAAGCCGTAAACAAGAAACCGACATTGCAAAAAGAATACTTTAAGAATTAAATGCCTTGAACTACACCTCGGGTATAAGAATCAGAAAAATGAAATTAGAAAAGAAGTTGACTACAGATTGTTGATGAAGCTCGCTGCAACTAATTTGACGAAAAGGTATTCATCAAACTTTGCACTGGAATAAACATTTTGTTAGTTCTGTTGGTTGGCACACCACTTCTTTTAATAAGCATAATTGCATTCAATCAAATATTCAGTAATGTTTTGTCGGAAAAAAAATCGCCAAACAATCGTTATTTGTACAGTTCAAATTTACGGAAATAACATTCGTTAATTGGATAGTGACAGACTATTTTTGTCGTCAGATAGGCATGATACGTTATCATCAACCTTAGTTAGTTCCAAGCCAAATTAATAAAAGAGTTTTTCTTTTTAAATTACCCAAAGAAAAATTTTCTTTGCCTGAAAGACTGAAATGTTAATAGTAAACTCTCCCCACCCCCGGAATAGAAGACCACCTCTGAGTCATATTAGAAGGCCATGGCTTTCTAATGAATTGTTTGGATATTACTTAAATATTCTGTGGTAATTTTATAGATATCTGAGCATTTTTAGAGATCATGTATGATCTCCACCGCATTGCTGCTTGGTTTTGTTATACATTTAAAGAGGTATGTTCACTTTCCAAAAACTGTCAAAACCAAGCAAGGTTTAATATATCTATTTGATCGTTCCTTTTTTTGCTTCGATACGATTACATGTCTTTTTAAAAGATATAAAAATATTCCTGTTCTTTGAAGTGCTTATGGTGCTAGACGTCAGATAGTATACTAATGTTTTTTCATGAAATATAAGTGAATAAACTAATTCATCAATCATTCTATTTATTTTCAACAAAAATATATAGTGAAGCTTTCAACCTCTTCCAAAAAATCATTATTAACACTAAAGTTATATGAAAGACATTTACAGATAATATATGAGACAATTTGTTTCCTTCTTTTTTTCTGTTTCGTTCTGTTCTGAACATTGCAGTGCGACAAAATAATGTTTCACCTTCATAGTTCTATGTTCAGAACAGAAAAAAAGAGAAAAAAAGAAGGAAACAAATTGTCTCATATATTATCTGTAAATGTCTTTCATATAACTTTAGTGTCAATAATGACCTTTTGGAAGAGGTTGAAAGCTTCACTATATATTTTTGTTGAAAATAAATAAGATGACGGATAAATATAGACAATAGATTAGACCATTATCGCGAGAGAAAAAATTAAAACGAGAGAAAACAATGCATCTTTCGAAAACAATTCAATCATATCCATAAAATACAATATAAGCAGCCATTATATAGTCAAATCGAATTTAACAGCGAAATAAAGATATGTCATATCATGAATGTGATGAAAACTTACTGCCATTACCATGTATCAACGACAATGAACAAGAATCGGATAGTTCAGCAGAAAGTGACCAATTGGAAATCGTTTCTGATGCCGAAGATAGTGAAAATTTACTTGTTCGTTTAAATAATTATTTAAATTTGGATTCTGCTGATGATACTGGACTTAGTTCTGATGAAGACCATAAACAAAATATTAAGAAGTTCATTGATGAAGATGAACATGAAAAAGATGACGATTCTGATAATCCAATCGTTTCTAATATAACTTCTTCAATAACACCACATGGAAATCCAATTTCTAATATCGTTCACTCGCAACAATCATCATCAAAAACCATTGGCGAGTTTGGTAGTAGCAAACGAAAACGTAGACAATGGTCTATTAAAGAAAAATTATTTGCATTAAATGTTCTTGGAAAAAATGTAGGCAACAAACAGCTTACTGCTCATCAATGTAGTTGTTCATGATATCAATTGTCACAGTGGGTTAAATCAGAGGCGGAGCTTGAAATAATGTCCAAATCCAAGCATGGTAAGATGAACTAATATAAAGAAGAGTGCAAAAAAAATTGACGTTAATATTTGCTAAATCTATTCTTCTGAACACGATGAATATCGAAGGTTCTTTTTTCGTAAATAGTTTACATACCACGGAGTACATAAATATATTAATTAATAACTAGTTCTGCTTTCCTTCAGGTAACGAACAAGGAAATATCATATCCTCATTGCTTCACTGAAAATAGCTTTGGCTTATTTTGCCTATGCCTATGAATTCTGTCAAAGCATAAAATATGCATTTGGAGTAAAGTAAGAGTAGCCATGCACCTAGTTTCGGATCAAGATTTGGTAGCTACAGTTTCAGCTCTATATGATGCTGCCCTGATTTCTAAGACAGAAAACAAACTATGCGTCACATTCTCACAATGTGACCCCTATCTTGACCTAAAGACAAATTCTGAGAATTATTTACCGAAACGAATTTCATCTACTAGCCCAGGCCCATCTGCCCTCAAAATTTCAAGTCGACCATATAAGTGATTATCGAGAAAGTGAGAAATGCGGGTGGGGCGCCATTTGTACGGAGAAATGTATAGATCGCGGTCATTTATTGATTTCTAAAATCACTTGTGCTTGAAGCTCATTTACATTTCCTTTAATGCTATGAACAAAGTGCTTCGATAACAAGACGACTTCGACAGCTCAACGATTGTCCTAGCTCACGTAGTGTAAGATGACCATTCAATATGCAAAAAAAGCAGTGAATATTCAAATCATTATGCATATCGGCCAACAGAATGATACTTTTGAAGAAGAATCTCTCATATTGCATTCTATAGCATCTTCTGGACTGCCGAGGAAGGCTTCGAAAGAATCCATTCATATGCTTAGCAAATATGACTCGAGAAAAAGCATATGTGGATCGGCAATTGGTTTTGCACTCCACCGTATTTTCGAAAAATTGAATTTTCAGTACAGATGAACATTTTTCGAGATAGATGAATTCTATATACGATAGATGATTCCAGCTAGAGAAGCATCAACGAAATGATGCAACTATACTTTTGCACTTTATGCAGAACAAGGGAAAAAACGACTAGTCACTAAACATTAATTATTGTCTTGTTTAAAAAGTAATTGTACATTTCACTTTAGATAAAAAATGCAAACGTTTAAGTGGCGGTGGTTCAAAAATAAAATATATTGACCTCGATCATCAATTAGTATTATGGTTTCGTGAAAAGCGCACATTTATCAATCCACAATCCATTGTTACAACTGGTACAACAACGACGACGACAATACGACGTGAAAAAGTAGCATTTCGTCAATTACAACGTCAAGGCAGGTTCTTAAGTATAGAATTACAACATGCTTATGCAAGTACAAAATGGTTTGCAAGGTTTATGCGTCGTCATCGTTTATCTCTTCAAAAACCGAAGAGACATAAAAAAATTCCATTATCCGATGTATATCCACTTGTTAACAGATTCTATGACCATATTCGTCGAGCAAGTCTATGGACACCAAGTTGTGGTCCCATGGGAGAATTTCTTTCCGAAGGTGTGTGTAACATGGACGAAAGTCCATTAAACTTATTGGCAACAAATTAAATGTTCAGTATTTTTTTGTAAATGTTCAGTAAAATTTGTTCAGCATTATATACGAATTTTCAGTAAAGAAATCAAACTATCAGTGTAAAATTTAATGTTCTGTAACTATTACGTTTGCTCAGTTAATTAATTGTTTGCTGAGTATCAAAATTTAAGTTTCAGTAATTAATTCAGTTTGCTGATTCAAAAATTCATTTAGTCAGTAAAAAGTAGTATTTTTGTCAGTAATCACTTCTTTTTTCGATGAAAATATTTTGATGTAAATAGAAGAACATTTGTCCGCATTGGCTGATGATGACGTCATGAGTCAAAAGATACTATGTTACATAGTTGCCCTCGATAATCGTATACATATGTTGTTCGACTTATCAATGTCATCTTTTCTTCACCTACTTTTTATATTTTATTATAGTTGTTCTCGATTTAACAATGGAGAAGAAGATTCTAGACGTCGTCCCTTTATTTGCTCTTTCGCCTATCCCTATATAAATAGCTCGGTTTCTTTTTGAATAAGCTGAATTTTGATTTACCAAAACTAATATTACTAATTTGATTTAAAAATGACAACGGCGGTGGAAATTGTTGAAGTACCAACTTATGTTTCTGACGATGAGATGGATAAAAGTGAAACTGTAGATAATGGAAACAAGAAACGAGTGAAAAAGAGACAACGCAATTAGGTAGAAGAAATAGTGTTTAGCAACACCAAAGAAGCTGAAGAAGCGGTTATCAAAGAAAATCAATGCAGTTATCATTATACAAATACAACAGCTGCAGGAAAAAAGAAATTTTTTAGATGTAATAAAGCAAAAGCTCGTGGTAAACAATGTAATGCTAGCATTTATTTGTTATTTGAGTCTACAAATGATAAAGTTGTTTTATTTAGTACCACATCAGACCATACTCATGATAACATAGAAGAAAAACCTTCAAGAATGCCAACTGATATAAAAAAAAATTATACAAGAATTATTTGAATTAAAATTGAAACCGAAAGCAATAATTGAAGTACTTCATGAACGTGGAATAGCACTACCAAGCGTTTACCAATTAAATAATTTTTTAAGAACCATTTAGAGTACAAAACTAGGTCCAACTTCAATTAGTCTTGGTGAAATTGAACAATGGTGTCTAGAATCAAGTCAATCAATTCCAGAATCAGATGATACTCCTTTTGTTGCATCATATCAAATTATTTATGATGATGGTGATATTAATGAAAACAAGTTTTCGCTGTTTTATTACAACAAAAAGACTTCTACAAATTGCTTCGAGATCGAAACAAAATTCATGCTGACGCAACATATAAATTGTTGTGGCAAGGATTTCTAGTTCTCATTGTTGGTACAACTGATCTTGATCGACACTTTCATTTATTTAGCATGGCTATTTGTTCTAATGAAGCAACACAGGATTTCAGATTTATATTTCGTGCTTTACAAGATGGTTTACATAAGTTAAATTTTGAAGAAATTAATCCAGATTTTTTAATCACTGATAGTGCTGATGCCATACGTAATGCTTTTCAAGATGTTTTTGGAGAAAAACCAGTGGTAATGTGTTAGGCGCATATGCGTAGAAAAGTGGTGAAAAAGATAGAATCAATGGTCAAGAAATCGGAACCAGAAGATTTGGTGAGTGATATAGACTCATTACAATTAGCGCAAAATGAACGTACTCTAGAGAAAGTACTGAGTTCAGGGTACCCATGTACTGAGAAAGCCTTAGCAAGGTACCGATATGGGTGCTTCGAAAATTCTCAGTAATCATACTGATGTAGGTACTGCATTGGATACCCATAGCAGTATCTTCACTGAACAAGTACTTGTATGGGTACCTACATCTGTAATTTTACTGAGGAAAGATCTACAGGGTATCCTAGATTTGTCGCGTTCTGTGTAGCGACTGTTCATTCACCGTTTTCTTCTGCGCACACGACTCCGTATAAATAACTTGAAAAAACATTAAAAAAACTGATCTATTTTCGTACTAATCTTTCTAGATTATTTCTTGACTATTTATTGGTCGAGAACATGCCGATGTTGATCGTAAATTAAGAGCGAACTACCATGAGGTGGTCTGATGGAGATTCGACCAACTCAAGTCCAGTCAGATCCAGAAAGTTGACCTGCTTGAGTTTTAAGAATTGAAAAAATTAAATTAAATAAAATCGAAAAAATGGAATGAACTGCTTTGAGAGAGACAAAAATGAAAAAGGTCAAACGTTAGGTTCGATCATCAACATCCTGCAATTTTGGCAACAGGATACCTAAACATACTGTGTAATAGTACCCAGTTGAGTATTGGATCAGTACCTTCAATTACCCATTTACTAGACGCTTTCCAGAAGGGTACCCACCCGAGCACCAAATAAGTACCTTAAAGTACTTTAAGGTACTTCAATACCTGAAGATTCCTGTGACATACTAGTAGCAGGTTACTTTTTCAGGTACCCTTAGCTCAGTAAATTCACTAGGGATATTTATGAAAGCTTTAAATTTATTTGTTAAAAAATGGACAAAAACAGAATCAAATTTCATAGAATATTTCCAAAACTAATGGCTAACAACACATAATGCATGGTATGAAGGAGTTGGCCATTTTACACCAAGTACAAATAATGCTTTAGAAGCCACAAACAATGTAATAAAAAAGGAAAATATACTTCGTGAACGTCTACCTTTATCACGATTTAAGGTATTAGCATTTGAAATTGTTGAAAAATGGTCGAAATCTTATGAACAAGGTTTAAAGCAATACAATTACAAGCAAACAATCTCATTGGAATTATGGACAGGTGGGTATCAATGGGTAAAATCAAACAAATCAATACTTTCGACTGAATGTGATAATTTAGTTCAATATTATATACCTGCTGGAAATGAAACAAGAATTACAAACGTCGAAATTGATGTAGTGAAGAAAATGGAATGGTACTCCTTTGATCAATATAAAAAAAAGCATTCAATATTTGGTCTGTTACATTACCAGTAGATAAATTTAAATGGTTAGATGGTGTGTGCAATTGTCCAGCATTTTTCAAAAAGTTGATGTGTAAACATGTTGTCGGAATGGCAATTAGATTAAGCTACTGCAAATCACCATCTGCTGCTAAAAATGTTAAAATTGGTGAACAAAGACGTCGTGGTAGATCAGCAAAATCTAAAAAGGCGTTACTGAGGCAATAAATTTCTGTTAATTGTAATTACACTTTTTTTACTGAAATACATTATTAAAAACTGAGCAAAAATAAATTAAATACTGAATCTTTTTAAATAAACTACTGAACTTCTTGAATTATTTACTGAGCAAAAAATAATTTTCTACTGAACAAGAACTACTGAACATATGATAAAAAATTTACTGAACATTGATAATAAAATACTGAACAATTAAATACAAGCCAAACTTATTTGGTGATCAATTGAAATTATCTATTAATGATGTCAACACATCGAATGATATTGAAAGTTGTATTAGCAATAAGCGATTTGCTACTGTTATATTAACAATTTTCGGTGATGATAATACACGAGTTGGTCCAGTATTACTTTTCAAGGAAAAAGGGCAGATGGGGGACCGTGAGAAATGTCAATATGCTAAAGATGTTAAAGTATATTTTACTCCAAAAGCAGTCAACAATCGGATTACAATGAATAAGTAAGTTAAAGAACGAACAAAAGGAAATGAATGAAATATGAAACTCATTTTTATATAAAAAAGAATATACTCGTTTCACCTAAAATAATTTTGTAGATCAAGATATATATGTTCAGAATAACAAACTTGATCAGAAATTGAATTCAACTTTTAGCTCCTTTTCTTTGTTTCTCTTATAGAAGACAGCAAAACAAATTATTTTTTTTACCGTAGTGTGGTTCTCATTCGTAATATGAGCTGGAAAAGCTTATAAATAATAATAACTTTCGTTAAACTAATAGAGGAAAAGAATAAAAATAAAATCACTTTTGCTGCTATCCAAATTAGTTGCTTATAGAGTGGTAAACAATAAATTGTTCATTTCATTTCTTCTATGATTGAACTGAAATTAAAGATGTGATGAAAAATATATTTACCCTCTTTTTTACAGATGCATTGAATATTGGACGTCCAAAGTTAATAATCGACTTCCAAAATTATTTATTGCTGATAGTTCAAACACACATCTCGATGAAGCATCAATTCGATTATTATGGCCTTCCCCTCCCCTCCCCCTCAAAAATCGATCTCAGCCTAGGAACTTTAAAATTGCATGAGATTTTCAGAACATGCCGGAGCTATAGTGGAGAAGCTATGGTACAGTCTCAGCCCGATATCATGACGTTTAAAGGAGATACTGACCAAACAAGGGTCAAAAATAGCTCATTTGGCAAACCAAATTTCTCTGTCCAGGTTCATTCTACATATTTAATTTTTTTTTGCTTAAAAGAGCATGTCAGAATGCAGTGCAGTACAGTCTTTTCTTTTAAAATCTTACTTTTTAGGGATTCAAGGGAGGTCACAAGTTCAATGACTAAAATAACCCGCTAAAATTGGGCACAAATTTACATAGGTGTCTGTATATATAATAAAAATCAAGCTTAGTTTAAAAAAAGGGCTCTGTACTGCACTGCATCTTGGCATGCTCTTTCAAATAAAATAAGATATAAATATATTGAAAGAGCCTGGACAAAGATTTCTTGCTTGCGCGTTCACGAAAGCATAAACTGAGAAAAAACGAAAAAGATTTTCGTTGTTTTGCGAAAATAGCTTATTTTTCGAATAGCGGGTAACGGAAATCTATAAAAATTTTTGGATAAAAAGAGGTGCCGAGTAAAAACTTTTGTCGTTTATGAGAGATCTGAAGACCGGCTATCTTTCCATTCATTTATCTCAATTTCGAAAATTCTAACGAAAATTGACTTCTTTTGAGGGGGGGGCCTTAAGAAAAAAATATATTTTTGTTGCAGTAATATCAAAGGAATGTACTATGTACATTCAAGCACTCGATGTTTATATATTTTCGATATTTAAAAATCACTATTATGATTGTTCAGAAGAATACATCGAGAAAGCAGGTGGTCGTTCAAAGATCAAACTTACTGCTTCTCAATCAAGAATTTTGTGTATACGACTTACGTTGGCTGCATGGAAACGAACGCTTGCTTCTATCGATTGTAACAAAAGCTTTCGTAAAATTGGTTATAGATGAACCGATAATGTTACACCTATAAAATTTCATACTCTTCCTGGATATATTTACAATCCGACTGATCGTAATTTAACTAATTCAAATACGGAAAAGGACATAATTATCGAAGAAACAGATAATGAAAATAAAATGAACCTTAGCATTACAAATAAAATGGCTAATAAACAATTAAAGTTGAGTGAATTTTGGAAACAGTAATTAAATGTACATTCTAATGTGTAACAGTTAATGTTTGTTTTTGTTCTATTTATAGGGTACTTTTGATTCAAGAAAGAAAATAAAAGATATGAAATAATATGAAATGAAAAAGAAAAGATCAGTTTGTACATCAGTCACCGGAGCTAGTTTACAGCTACCATTAGTTCAAAAAGCCTAAACAAATTTCAATTTTCAGCTGCCGAACTAGAAAAACAAAATCAGTAACTAACAAAAAAAAGTTGTAATTTTTTCCCATAAAAGTCGTATTAGAAAGCCACTCTGAAAAGACTGATGTGAATTTCCATAATAGAAGGTCATGGCCTTTTATTCTCGGGGTGGGGAGGTGGGGGCGGGGGTTGAGCGTACTCAGAGACGTCTTGCGATGTCTTGTTTTTAGCCCATATTGGTTGCCATGATAAAACATGGATGCTCCGACTGTACTACTAGATCAAGTTTTCTTTTCTAAATATTTCAAAGAGAGATAGAAGACTTGACTAATTGTCAACAATGTGTATGAAACACTGACTTTTCATTAAAACGCTCCGGAATATGTGCCCAAGTTTCAAATGAGATATGAAAATCATAAACGCACACGTGACTGGCTTCTTAAGGAAAAAGTAAAGCAAGTCTTCGCGAAATGCTATTTGTGAAATTTCATAGGACTAAAGATTTATTGCATAACTTCATTGAGGAGTAACAAAACATTCACTGGCAGTCAGAGTGAATGTGAATATGGATCGCTCATTATTCACTTACTCACCACAGTAGCCATCTACACATCTAGTTTTTTTTATTCACAAATCTGTCACTTGGAAAAAAATTCAATGAATTTATAGAGAGCTACAAGAATTTCTCACGAAGCAAAAACTTCTAAGAAATGCAAAAGAATTTCAATTGTGCTTCGCATTATTAATGGAAAAAAGATGACTTTAGATACCATCCTAAACATTATGGATACTTTGTAGTCTAACACAATCATGTGAGCAATGAACTTCGGCTATTCAAGATTAAATTATTAAATGAAAGTGTGTTAGTGTTCTCGCCATCTATCTATCCACACACATCCTCACTGCTGTGGAACCAACCAATCCTACAGCCACACTTTTGGTCAACATATTATCCTTTGCAGTCACTGAGAGCCGTCGTGAAAACGTTAAACTTTGGTACGCTTCCTTT